AAGTACTGTATGCTTAATTGTTTTCTTGCAAGAAGACAGCTTGGAGGACAGGACCAACTTCACACCCGATCAGATCTGCACACTGTTAGACCTCTGCCTCACCACTACATATTTCAAGTACAACGAAGGCTTTTACAGACAAAACATGGCTGTGCCATGGCTCCCCGTGTCACTATTGTAGCCAACCTTTACATGGAGGAAGTGGAAAGGAGGCTCTTGGCTCTTTCAAAGGAAGAGTACCCAGCCACTGGTACAGATATGTGGACGACACCTGGGTCAAAATCAAGACACAAGAAGTGGAATCCTTCACTGCGCACATTAACACTGTGGATAAAAACATCAAGTTCACCAGGGAAGACACAAAGGACAACTGTTTGCCTTTCCTGGACTGCGCCGTGCACATTGAAGAGAACGGCAAACTCAACATCGAAGTTTACCGGAAGCCCACACACACGGACCAGTACCTCCTCTTTGACTCCCATCACCCTTTGGAACACAAACTTGGAGTAATTAGGACCCTACACCACCGGGCAGAACATGTTCCCTCTAAGCCTGAAGGAAAAAAGAAGGAACACACACATGTAAAGGAAGCACTCAAAACGTGCGGCTATCCTAAATGGGCGTTCTTAAAGTCAGCAAAGAGGCACAGAAAAGAAGACCAGACACCAGCGAGGGAGGATAAGAAGGACAGACGCAACAACATTGTCATCCCCTATGTAGCCGGTGTATCAGAGAAACTCAGGAGAGTTTTCTCCAAGCATGACATTTCAGACCCAGCAACACGCTCAGACAGAAACTGGTTCACCCGAAAGACAAAACGCCAAAACACAAACTTAACAATGTGGTGTATGCTGTACAGTGCAGCGAGGAATGCTCAGACCTCTACATTGGAGAGACCAAACAGCCACTTCACAAGCGCATGGCACAACACAGAAGAGCCACCTCCACAGGACAAGACTCAGCAGTCCATCTGCATCTTAAGGATAAAGGACACTCTTTCGAGGATGCCAATGTTCACATTTTGGACAGAGAGGACAGATGGTTTGAAAGAGGAGTGAAAGAAGCCATCTATGTCCACTGTGAGCGGCCATCTTTGAACAGAGGCGGGGGTTTACGACACCAACTCTCTGCCATCTATAATCCAGTTTTGAGATCCCTTCCCAGACGCCTTAACGCCCACTCACATCCTGGGCCATCTGACCTCAGGAATTCGCATGATAAGGTGGGGCCAGGTTTCACAATGAACACACCTGAAACTCTGGCTGATTGGGACCCACGCCCAGTTTCCCACCTTGGCTCAGGCGATTAGAGGATCATCAGGGGGTCCTTTTGTCCCTCTGTGGGGGTTACTCCCACTAGGTTTATATCTGGGACTCTCCACCATTTGACCTTAGAACTGAAGAAGCTTCTCGGATGAGAGGTGAAACGTCTTCAAGCAACTTAAAGAAGTCCAGACGCTTTTCTTTCCAAGCTCCTTTGATCACTATCATGAAGGAAGACTAATAAAGTACCAAGATTGAAAACTCTTGATCGACCGATCAGATTTATCGTACATTGGTGGTAATTTACCGATCTATCAGTATAAGCATTTTCAACGTCAAATACATGAAAATTTCAAAAGTAATGTAAACAATAGATACAAGAAATGCCCTTCAACCATTTTATTGAAGTTGATGTCGCATAGTTTGCCCATCAGAGGGCACTCCGCATCTTCCTTGTTGGCAACATACATGTTTGGGAAACCATAAACACAACAACCAAGCAGCTAACAGAACATAAATAATTATGAAAATCTATTATTTGAATGTGGATTTTTAAAATAACCAAATCTTGGCTGGGCATCAAACTGACGATCAAAATTCCTTAGACTCTCCACTACTTGCCAAACAATATATTAATGAAAATACTCTATAAGGTCATTTATCAGCATTACAGGTGCTAAGTAACCTTTCAACAGAGTCTAAGTGGTTAATCTAGGCTAACAGTCTGATAGCGTTAGCATCATCTTGACTGACATCTTGACAGTAACTATTTGAACCATAATAAAATTCAAAGTCTTCTAAGTGCTGCAAAAATAAAGCAAATCCTATCAGCCGCTCCAGCAGGAAGAAAGCTCCATTCAAAGCATATGAAAGTGCTGCATTGCAATGAATCAAAGTTACAGTTTAACTCCGTTCTAAACACAACTCAGATCCAGTAATAGTGACAGGTGGGGCAGATGGCCCGGCTTGTTATGGAGTCCAACTTTAGTAACAGGAAAAATTAAACCAGTCAGAAAGTTGGAAAGCAGCTGGACACTCTACATAGACAAGCGCTTATTAGCATGTGTGTATGCACGCAGAGGGTGGACTGTCAATCCAAGAGGTGCCTCTACATGTTCTTGAGTCAGCAAGGCGTAACAGTTTTTTCTCTCTCTGTCTCTCTCATTCGCCAAACAAGCAACTGTATGAAACCACAGAATCTCTACCCAAATTCACACACACCCCACCTATTTGTGACTTTGCAGTAGACACACAGAACCCAGAGTGACAGCGACTCAGCCGAGGAGAACGAATGGGGAGCCAATACAGGAAGCAAAGATGACGAGGACGAGACGGGCCCTGAAAAAAGGTGTCCGTTTTCAGTCAACACGAGTGAGCACAGTCTGTGTTTGGACAGACAGCAGTCAGCAGAAAAAGCATCGCCCTGTCGCTCGCGGTAACGGTAGATGAGATCAATCGGGGGAGATGGAGGGAATAGAAATGTGAAAGGACAAGGAAAGGAGGGAAAGAGTAATGCACCACAAATAGCCTCTGGCACATGATCACGGAACAACCCATTCTTACATCGTTTGTGTGGCCATTTTACAGACTTTCTTGATTATTTCCTGCATTTATTTATTTTATTTTTTTGTGATATTCTTCGCTTCCTTTATCAGCCGTGATTTGATACGGGCTGGGCTCATGGGAACAATATGCTGAAGGAAGATCTTGAAAAACAGTACGGGCAGGCAGCTCCCACTTTATCACAATGAATATGAAGAAATTGTACAAAAAAACAAACAAACAAACAAAAACAAAAACAACAGAAAGGCAGCGATTTGGGCTCTCAATGCGAAAGACATTAATATATTCATGAGCCTCTGCTGCAATCATGTTTCTATGAATGGATTTTTGATTTACCACCATAGCAAGGTTTCACTCCTATGATGAGATCTACGTTTTTAAATGTGAATATGTTTTCTAAGTCAGAAGTGCTGTTGCTACACAAGAAAGTAGAAACCATACATACACTTCTGGGCTTTTTAAGGACAAAACAAATAAATAAATGAATCTTGAAACAAAAATAAGCTCGTCTGAATTCTGCTTTTGCATGTCAGCTGTCAAATCCTTTTATGATCGTATCAGTTCGGCAAGTTCTGCGCTCCGACACTATACGTCTGAAAAAGTAGACGCACACACAGACAAAAAAAAGGTACCAGCAGGGAAGTAGAGGAGAGCACACATGGCATCTTAAAGTTGTGGATTCTGCCTCTGAAGGTGTTTCATTCCACATCATCTAAGATCTTAGCAAACTTCTAACAAAACCCAACAGAAGCACAGGAGGGAAAGGGAGCCAGAGAGTCAACAGAAGAGTAGTGCACTCAAAATTTTAACCACAGAGGGTCTTGTTAGACAAATAGCCGCTCTCGTGTAAGGAAAGATGAACAGTGACAGCTGAAGAGACACACAGGAAAAGAAGAAGAAGAAAAAAAAAAAACAGTCCACCGTGATGCAAAATAAAATGCAGACCTCTTCCAAAACTACAAGGCACTCATAAAGCCCAAGAACACAGATGTGTTTTTATTGTTTTTGGTCTTTACTCCAGAGCACTGGGATATAAAATCACCATTAGTTTTAAGTGCTGAGTTTTGACTTTCAATTCCCCGTCGACCGCTTTATTACATTTGTTTACAACACACCTAAACCCAGTGAGATGGTAATTCTGGACCCATAATCAATTTATGCAGTTTTCTTATCTTCTACAGTTCAGAGCCATAAATCAGTTCACGCATGTTGGTAATAATGTCTTCTTTTTTCCCTCTTCTCTATGTTGACAGAATGAAAAGGTCAAACTGGGCCTCGAGAGCAGGGAAGAATTTGGTTGAGCTGATGCAAACTTTTCATTCTCTACACGAGGAGATGATTTTGTAAGCTGTCATCCAGAGACCAATTAGAGAACTGTAACCCTGAACTCCAGCAGGAGCAAATGGATAATTCTGTAAAACCTCCCACTTCAACTCTGATTAGGTGAAGAGAAAAGAGAGCAGGAAAAAAAAGGTCTATATCTTATTTCATTTCAAAAGATCCGTGCCCATAAAGCAATGTGGTTTCCGTAGACCTGTGAATTGGATGGCTAGCGGGTAAAATTGCAGGCCATAAATAGCTCAAAATCTGCTGCCCTTCACTTGAAAACTGATTTTGCTGACTTTCACCCTAGAAAGCCTTCCTCTGTTGAACTGGCAAAAGTTTCTCTGTACTTGCCTCTAATTTGATCACGTGAAGTACATGTATGTGGGAACCATCTGGGAACTAAGTGATCCCTGTGAGAATCTTTTCAAATGAAATGATTTTGCACACTCATACGCAAAACTTGGTGTAGAACTACACCTATACTGAGCCGTTCAGTGGAACGGCCTTGACTTGTGCAGAAATGTAGCTTGACGGGTATTCCATATCAGACTGGAAAGGAAGAAAAAACCCCACTAAATCAGTAGGAAAAGAAAGGTGGCTGCAGACCGATTCTGGCAAAGCAGCACGAGTGAGCGTGCCAAACGCCTGGCTGATGTCTGTGGGTTACATACATCTGCCAAAGACTAACTCCAGCAGAACTAATGAATATCAAATACAATGAGTTTGTGTTAATGTGTCCATTTGCTCTCTGCAACTAACTTTGTTAGTTAATTGAGCTGTTCAAATCAGTGCGAGCTCCCACACTGTACTAAGACTAGGCATGGCCACAATGTCAGTAAACTACCTCACCTGCTGTCGAGGTGGCTGAAATCCAGTAAGTTGAACTCCCTGTTGTCCTGAGAGTGATAGATTGTGTCAACATCCTGGAACAGAGAGGAGGAGGGAAACAAACAATAACAGACAGAGTTTGAGATAGATATGAGACAGTATCATGAAAAATATATTTTCCACTCTACAAAGAATAGCAATCTACAAAAGGTAATATAGACAACAAACACAAGTGGATTTGTTCTGCGAGTATGCTTTCCTCACCCACTGCACTTCTTCTTTGCAGCCAATACCGTTGTAATCGCAGAGAGCTGCATAAGTCTCAGAAAAACCTCCTGAAAATACGAAGGAGAAGACAACAAGTCAATTCAAACTAGACCATGACAGATCGGAAATGGCAAGGACAGAATGAAGTAGCGGAGAAGACATGGAGAAACGACGAGGGGAGAGGGTGCAGGCCAGAGATGAAAGAGGGAGTCAAAAAGAGTGAGACAGAGATAGTCAGCTGAGAGGGAGAGATTAGCTGTAAATATTGAGGTGAGATGAAAGTACAGAACCATGAAGGAGCTCTTCTTGTAGATTAATAGGATTACTAGCAGAAAGCAAGTACATCCAGTAACTTTGGTCTTCTGACCCACTTATGGACAAGTCTCCAAAATGGTTTGCTGTGAGCTACTGAGTCAGCGTGTGAATGGACTCTGAAGTGCTGCATGTATGAATGTGCGTGTGAGATGTGGTTAGAAAGGTAGCAGGGCTCTCACCACAAGTTTTCTGGGGATCTAATGATGACTCAGAGTTCGGTGAAAACTTGTGACTCCCATCGGGCATTTCTCCCTCTGCTCGACAAATAGGAGGGCTGAAACAAAGAGAGGAAGGAGATTCAGAGCTAGCTCATGCTGGCAATGATGACGCCAAAGTGCATCTTAGAGCTTCCCAGGCCATCATGTGCAGATTTGAATGAAACACAAGGTACATGTGAAGTTGAATGGAATTATAGTCATTTAATATGTACATTTTTGATTGCAGTTGACTAAACTGTTATCCAGCATTTAAAATTCTATCCTCTTTGTGGGGGAAGATGTGAAAAAACAATTTCAATTTCAACTGACAATAAGAAAAGAAGCTTAATGTGTGAAATGCTTATTAAATAATTAATAATTGTATGTACTGCATTCAATCAACAACTGTACATTTGTACTAAAACAAAATTGTAATTGATCTGACTGAAAAGCTCATTTGATGTGAATCATAATTTAAGCAGGATACTTACATTCATGGCAATCCTCTAAACCATAGGTGTCAAACTCTGGCCCGCGGGCCAAATTTGGCCCGCAGCCTACTTACATTTGGCCCGCAAAACCATACCAAATTACTATTAGAGCTGGCCTACTGGTATTATACAGCTAATATATATATTGTTTAGTATTAAGCTTTGCTTGTTCCATATTCAGTTTTTCAGCAAAACGTGTTTGAGTCCATAAGAAAAGATTCATTCTTATATCTGGAGGAATAAATATATTTCAATAAATATTAACGTTAGCCCGCGACTTTGTTCCAGTTTTGAATTTTGGCCCACTGTGTATTTGAGTTTGACACCCCTGCTCTAAACCATAGTCTAGTCTGGCCTTTATTCATATAATGCAGTAGAGATAAGCCAGGAAATGTGTGGAAAGAGCAGGGACAGGACAGCCAACAAACTCAGCTCTTAAAGGCAATAAGTCCATGTGTTAGGCATCCTGTGGTGTAATACTACGACTAAACAACCTCTGACTAAATAAAGACGCCTGCTGCAGAACGCACATAAAGTGAAAATAGCCGAACCTTTCATTTTAGCTAGGATTTCTTTTTATTAGATTGAGCTGGTTCAGGTTTCTCCCTGTCAGATTAACCAGCAACAATGGCACCCAGATAAAAATGAGATTTGCCTCATTATAGGGCAGAACAGTGGTGGAATTGTTGGGTTTAAATCCATCAGCAGGCTGGGTACTGTTTGTTTGCATGCATCTCTCCCAGTCCTCCGGCTTCCCCTCACAGTCCAGAGACATGCACATTTAGCTAATTGGTGATGCTAAGTGGCCATAAATGTGATTGTGAGCGTGAATGATCATTTGTCTTCCTGTAATAGACTGGTAACATGTCAACTGGTATAAGCCCCACCCTCCCACAGAGTTAGAGCAGGGTGTCAAACATAAGGCCCAGGGGCCAGTATCTGCCCAGCTAAGACTCCAATCTCCTGACACCTTTGGAAATTTAAAGGCAGGCATAGGTTTTAGACTTTCAACTGTATTTTCACAAGTTTTAGAACTTCCCTGCTATTCATACTACACAACAGTAATTAAGGTAAACCTTTTAGTTAAACACCTATAGCATTAAAAGTATAGTTAGTTAAGTAGTTATTTTTAATCTGATGTGAAATGAGAGTTTCTTTGATCAAAGTGGGCTCTATGTGGCCCATTGAGATGGTTCACTATAAATCCACGAACCCTGCTGCAACAATACCTAATAAGTATATTTGTCATCTATATTTTATGGAGAGAGGCACACGGCTGGATTATTAATGAGTATTTTTTGTAATGAGAAGGCCTCTGGTATCAGTTAGAGGTTTAGGGAAAAGTACATTCTAAATATTATACTTCTTTCCTTTGGTGCTGTTGCTAAAGAGTCCTTAAGCAAGACATTGAACTCCCAGTGGCTTAAGCGGAGTACTGTAGTGCCCAAGAGACTATACAAAGACACAAGGATGCACCAAGGTTCGAATGAATGAGTATAACCCGTATTCCCAGCAGGCTCACACCCTGGTAGGTATCATAATGATACATCCTTACACAACGTCCAGTGAAATTAGGACATTAAAAGGAAATTTGACTTAAACATTGAGATCTCAAATGAACTCCTGCAAAACATAGCTCATCCACCTTTTCTACCTTTCTGCCTTACTTGCATCAGAAAGAAACAACAAGTAAGCAGAGCGTGTAGGGATGGATCAGAAAGCAAATACTGTGTTCACACATAGTACTGCGGCTGTACCTGCTTTGGCTTTTTGATAGGATTACACCGTTACACTGTGGAATTCAACACACACCATCCTTAATCGCATTTGTCAACAAAATCACACACACAACACCCAACAACATCCGTGACCTTAATCCCTGCCTTATCTCTGCAATCATCATCATCCGCCCGCATACGTGCACGCTCTCTAGATACTATCTGCATCGTGTACCAATCAGTTACCGGGCCGCACAATTAAATCCACAACACAAGGTTCCTCCCTGTGTTCTCTCCCCTTTCTTTATTTCTCTTTAAATGTCCTCACTGGAAGCAATCATCTGCCGCGGCCCTAATGGAAAAGAGCTATTCTGAACGATGATAAAGTGCAGAGATAGCCTTGTGCAGGTCAATAGTGGAGCACAGTCAATCCCAGTGCTCTCAGAAATTGTAGATGAGAACTAAGAGAGAGGGAAACAAACTCTGTGCCTTCCTTTCCTCCTCATACATTCTAATGACTGCGGGACAAAACTTTCTGGGCTTTTCATTGTGTGCATCCTTTGCGCTTTACCGCTTTAGATTAAAGCGTAGAGGACGTTCAGTGCCCGCTGTAGGATTTTCATCGGCATAAGAATGTGTTTCTTTTGACTTCAGGGTTGAGGCGACAGCATCTACTGACTGAAAGTACTACGTAAACAGCAAGAAAACGAAACCGTGCCTCGCAATAGCAGCCTACTCAGTGTCAGCTGGCAAATTAAGCCCAGTGATTGCTAGGTGTAAGAGTCTACAATGGCACAGAAATGGGTTGGAGGGAAACTACTGCAAGATAAGAATGATTTTTGGCTGTTAAAGAGGAAAGCAATCCTAAAGTGAAGCTGCCAACTTGCCAACACACTGTCAAAGTCTGTTAACGTGGGACAACTTGCCTTTGCTGCTCAGCAACATAAAGCACAAAAACAGAAAGCTTCGGCACTTTGCTCGAGGATGGCGACGCTTGACATTGCTTACGCATAAATTGAGTTGTTGAAGACTCTGGAGAGGGCGTAGTTGATGTGGCTGACCATGTGATCCAGCTGTTCCTGGGTCTGCAGCCTCAGCGAGTAGGTGGTCTTGTCTGTATCGATGATTACCTGTATCGACAATGACAGTTTTAATCCCATGAGAGTCAACGCTGCTACGACGGTACAGTTGGCAGGAAGCGCCGCTCTCACCTGGTGTTCTGGGTAGGTGTTCATTGCTCTGATTTCCAAAAAATTGAAGGTGACCTCGACCTGAGAGAAGCAGAGATGCATCACAAGCTCAAACAAAATCCTTATGTTACCTAATCTCAGCTTGTTTTGTTCACAAAATATTGCACAGAATAAAGAAGATTCTGAGTTCTGATGATGCCAATTTGCTCAAAAGGAAAACTCAAATGAAGCTGGAAGCACACACACACACACACACACACACACACACACACACACACACACACACACACACACACACACCAAGGCTTCTTAAACTTCAGAGAAAACACAGGCTGACCAGTAAAATTACATCTGAAACTGTTCGCTCTCACTCACCACCTATAAGTAGTGGTTAGATGTGCAAATTTGCAGAAAGGGATTATTGACAACCTAGTGGATGCCTTCCAATCAGAATCAGAATCAGAATCAGAATACTTTATTGATCCCTGGGGGAAATTATTTTTTGTTACAGTGCTCCATTTTAAACCAACATTAAGACAAGACAGACAATACACTAACTAAGAATAGTACAATATATACATATATATACATACATACATACATAAGTCACTTATAAATAAATATTTGGAAAAGAAACATGTGTAGTTGTTGATATGATAGTATAGAAACAACCCTATTTCTCTTTAAGTTTATGACATCAGTAAAGACTATCCAGATGAGTTTCAAGTCTTATTGAACACAACCTCATTTATTTTAAATTAAATTTTGGTCCCATTCAGAGTAATAAAGATAATAAATTGGGTTATCTTTTAGGGTTTCCTATAAGTCACTGATGAATGGCTGTGTAATGTAGCTCGATTTCTTATTCATCCACTTTCAAACCCACAAAGATGGCTGATCAAAATCTATTTATGGGCTTAATTAGAACTAATTGGTGGCACCATCTTGACTGCATCCACCTTAAGTGTATTAGCAAAAAGAAAAAAATATGCATTAGGTTAGCTTTGCACAAATAGTGGAAGCAAGGACAAATGGCTAACCTGGCTCTATTAAAAGGCATTACAGTCCTCCTACTTTAACCAATCAAGGTGTTCAAAACATAAACTGTAGATAAAAGATGATTAGCACCACCAGGACATCACCCACTGGTTATTAATGTGCCAACTTGAAGCGTTAAGTTGAGTGTACCCTGAAGCACACTCCATTTTATTCTCCGCTTTACTCCAGTGGGGACTATTGACACTTAAAAGTAGAGATGGCACGATACCACTTTTTTATGTCCGATACCGATACCGATATCATAAATTTGGATATCTGCCGATACCGATATGAATCCGATATAGTTTCTTTTAATCAACAAAACTGTTTTTTAAAATATCTTGCTGCATTTTGTATAAGTTCATACTCAAGTTTAAAACAACAACTACACTAAAGCTATTCTGTTATACCTGTATACAAAAAAAATATTTCATAGTTCAGCAATACTGATCAATCTAATAAACTTAGACCTACACCATCCTCCCTATTCTGGTATTTTAAAGAGTACTTAGCATAAATATTAAGCAACCTAACTAATAGGGTTCCAACTCCCAGCAACAACAAAAATAAATAAATAAAAAATAGGGAACCACCCCTCACGCTCCACCTCATGATGCTTAATCAACGTAATCAACCTTAATTTGATGCAGTGTGAAAAAAAATGCACAGAAATCAATTATTTTTCAAGAAATATTAAATAGATTCAACATCTTTCTTCAACAAAATTGCAGACTGCACAGATGGTACCTTCCCAAAGGAAAAAGAACTATAGCTTACTAGGGTATATATATTAGACTTAATAGTCACTATATACAGTAATTGACTTCTATTCATTTTACATCAAATTAAAACTTTGGGTGTCAGATAATTATTTATTAAAAGCTAGACATTTTAAATGAGAATAAGAAAGAAAAGTATGTCTTTGTGCCCCCTTTTCCAGTTAATGCCCTATCGGCCCCCCTGGCTAAACTTTGCTAGATCCGCCCCTGCACAGTTACCAGCCATCAGCTACGTAGAAAAAGATCCTGGTATAGAAAGTAATATTAAATAAATTCTAACAACAGCTTATCAAGCTTAAACATGCTGCTGTTGTTCAGCCGCTGGTTTCCTCTTTCTGGCACAAAGGGGACCAAAAACAAACAAGAGAGACGGACTCGCGACAGAAAAGCCGATCAGCTGATCATTTAAGCAGTTTCACGATTGAAGTAGCAGTCGGAGAGCGAGAGGCAGTCGCTTGTTAAGCTTAACGCAGGAATGCTTTACAAACATTCAGAGATGGACTTACACACTTGCTTTACTTCTCTCGGGGATAACTTTGTCGGAGATGAAATGCCGGGTTGCTAGCAAAGCTCCAAATGCTATCCAGACCACCGACAGGTCCCGCATGCCACAGCCGCTCTATCACGTGATGCATACTGCTCCGACGTGCTAACGTTCTGAGGTGAGTTACGGAGTGTTGCAAGTTTTGTGAGGTGCTTTCGTGATATTTAATGGATCGGATTACATTTTTTATTTTTCTCCGATATCCGATCCAGTAATTTAGGTCAGTATCGGACCGATACTGATACGTAATATCGGATCGGTCCATCTCTACTTAAAAGATCAAGAAATCATAAGGAAAGTGTTTACTGAGATCATTAAGAAAGTGAGAAGTGGGGCTGTTTTCCCCACAGACTTTGACCCAATGAGGCACCTCAGGGAGACAGGTTTAAGGCACTACTGGCTTCACTTTTGTGACCCAGAAGTTTGTTGTATCTTTTATATACAGTGTATTGTTGAAACAGCCAGTAGCAAAGGTGACCAGCTGCATCTTAGCTACTGGCTGCAAGCTAAAAACTATATTTACATCCTCAAACTGCTGCTTTAGTTTTATCCCACCTGCCCCTCGTCGTCTACATTGTAATTGTCATCATTACTACTATCATCCTATAACATCATCACTGCAGTCATCATCGTTATCTCTTTTCTCCTGCTCTGAAAAGCCTTTGATTTTTTTTTTCTTTGTCACATTTTCTGCAAATTACCATGAGATCAAGGCTGGCAAGTGAAAGCCATAAAATTCCACTGAGAGCGGGGGAACATTTACCTTGGTGGGCACTTTGACAGCAAAGAGATACAGTCTCCATGTTGCCAGGACCTGAGGGGAGAACACATTTATATTTCTGTCAGACAGCAGGAAATGCAAAATGCAAATCGCAGCAAAAAATAGCACAGCACAAACATCCCATAAAGAGAGCAAATCATCTCCGCAGTTCATCCAAATGGCTCGTAAGTCATGCTAAGCACCCTAGACATTAGTGAGCTAATGACGACAGCACGTGAGCGTGCGTGTGCGTATGTGTGTCAAAGACATATGATGGCGGGACTGCAAGTCATTTCACAGTCCAATTTATCATGCCAAGTTGTGGTGATGGAACTAAGTAGTACTTATTCAACAGACGCCTCATCGCCCCGGCAAGAATACTGGTGAAATAACAGGGAGAAGACAAAAAAAAGACAGAGGAAGAGTAAGCAAAAAGAGTTGTGCTTTTGTCAGAAAAAAGCCATTACCATTTAAAAGTGTCTGGGGTAAATTAAGAGAAAGAAAATGTGAATAAATTCACATCTGCCTATGCAATTAATCTCATTCATAATTCAGAAATTCCATAATTAGCATACTCAATACATGCATGCATGCACTGCGCGTCTCTAGCCCTTCCAAGCCGCGTCTCTAACTCTCGACCACTGTCTCCATGCTCTTTTTCAGCCAGCTTTCAAATTGTCTTGTCCATAATTCCTTCCCTTGCATCCTTTCATTCCTCTGATTTCTCTCTTCATCTCCATGGAAATGTGTTCATTTTCTTGCTTAATCCCTAACCCCCCCTCCCATCTCCCAATGTGGCACTGTGTCCTGCCTGGTTTGCTCCCACCTAACACCTCACTCCAACCCCTCTTGCCCTCACCCCTCACCCCTCCCCCCCCTTCTCCCAAGTCCCTGTCTCCTTTCCTGTTTCAGTTTTTCTATTCTTTTTTCTGCTCTGTCACTTTCAATTCCTCAAGGCCTCTCTGCGCTGAATGGCTAATGGCGCCCTGCTGAGTGGCAGTGAGAGGAAGAAAGAAAATGAAACATACAAAGAGATACAGGGAGAGAGGGGAGAGATAGAGGAGGCGATAGAAGGGCAGAGACACCACTTTTCCCTCCAAATAATTAAGTCTTCTCCTCCACCATACTTCACCAACTCCCAGCAAAGCTCATCTCACAGATCAACCCTGTGTCTTAAATATATAGGCATCCATAACAGGCTCCAACAGAGAAGAGAGGCTGCACTAAGCTTGATGAGAGGCCTTTGTAGAAGGAGTCCAATCACAGCTCCTCCACAAATTTCCCATATAAATCCAGAGGGAAAGCACACAGAAGGAGGGGGAAAAAAGGACAAAAGTTGAGACGCAAATACTGTATATATAATGAAGACGTGGACGACAGATGCACCACTATAAAATCCTGCTACCTGACAGAAGGTCTCATCATGTAAACAAAGGCATCAATAATGCAGGCTCACTGATGGGCACCGATTTGATCCCCCGATGCTGAAGCAAGTCTCTTGCATAGGATTTCTCCTCTCTTGTTATATCATTTACAGGCTATCGAGGCATCATTAAAGACAAATCAATACTCTGGTTATTTTTTGCTTACTTGGCTGGGACGTGTGCAGCAGTGAAGGGAAAATGCACCCAATAATCCTCTAAAAAAAAAAAAAAAAAAAAAATCCCTGTTGTTTTGAGGTTTTATGAGCCGTCTAATTATGTGTTGTGTAACTTGGACGAGCTGTTGTCTGCGCGCCGCATCGACTGCGTTTAAAGAGAGTCAAAAAGCACGCTGTATTGTTTATAAAGTCGGCGAGGTTCAAGTCTTTTTGCCGTTTGCGAAAAGCAACGGAGACAACAGCCTGTCAGTCTCAATAAGCCTTTCAGTTAGCTTCCTGCATCATTTAACAGCCCACACTATATTGTAGCTAGATAGCAACTGAGTGGTAGACGGTAGTAAGCAATAGTCAGAGTTCCAGAGTAATACTTCAAAGTGCTTCACTTTAATATTTTAGACAGCTTAATCAGAATGGCCCAACGTTCAGAGCTGAGCAGCAGCCAGTCCTGTCAGTCTCCCCACCACCCCGAAAGCTGTCACCCATATCAATCTGAATGATAATTTATATCTTCTGCCGTAATTGTCACACACGGCTTAGCGGGAGGCTGACATTTTCACAGGTGTACATATTAGTAATTTGTGTGGTGTAGCAGTACCGTAGCAACAGCTGTCGATTAATAAAAGTCAATCAGTGGGAGAAAAAAGGGAGAAAAGGCAAATATTTTGATTGTCAAGTAGAAACTAAAAATTCAAATTTTTCCCCTTTTTTAATATATTATGTAGTAAGGTGGATAACTCTGGGTTTGTGCTTGGTGGTAAGGATAAAAAGGAAGATAATCACCTTGGGCTTTCATTGTATTGCGAGGGATCTAATGAAAGGAGAAGATAATGTGGCAGAATGATTAACAATGAAAATAACTGGTGGAAGATAGAAGCAAATAAGAGACCATCTTATAGAGTTACGGTGCTGTTTAAATCAATCACTGTTAAGTAGAGATGCACAGATATCCATACCAATGTTGTTTCTCCTTTCTTGTTTGTCTTGTTTGCTTCCTTGGTATACAAGGGACATTTATAATACAAAAAATAATGTTTAAAGCCTTCTAAAGTCATTAAATTTGCTCAAATTTGTTAAAACAGTCCGACACAGCACACATATCGACCTCTGCCACTCGTGAATGTCATCTTATCCGGAAATAACAGGCAACGAGGAAATTATCAGCTGATTGCACCAAAGCCAGGAGGTTATACTTCAACAGCTTCTGATGACACTGTATTCTACAGCAAGTCAGATTATTCAATATTTGTGTATTATCTTTTTCAGTGTTTCACTTCGCAGACAGCCCCTGAGCACTTGTCTTACAACTCAAAGCAAGTAAAGAACAATGTTATTGATTCAGGAAGTTTGAATGAGTGAATGTGTTTCTAGCTAAGTAGCAGGTGCGGTGCACTTTGTGCTTTGGGTAGAAAAGCTGCTCTGCTGTGCTTGATCTCTGTATGTGAATTTAAATGAATCAAAAATGGGAATTAATTGTATCTCATCATTATGCAGTTGCATTTGAGCACCCAAAATAAAAACATGGCTTTAAAATACATGTTTTATATATATATATATATATATATATATATATCCATCAACTGCAACCATCGTACATGAGCGTCTGTCAGTCATGGATGGAGAAAATTACTGTTGGTCCTGTCCGTCCTCTTCCTCGACAATCACATAAATAAATGGGTTGTCCTAAGTAACCAAAAAGAAAAAGAAAGTCAATAGTTTCTGAAGCAGTTTCTGAAGAATAAAGATAATAAGTATCAGCTGGCACAAGCAGTGACGCTAATGTCAAGTATGATGAGCCAGAAGCAGAATCCTGCCCACCTTGCCCTGACCCCCTCCCACAATAGAAGGTGACATTCTGGCAAACCTTCTATTCCGCAGATCAATCACAAATCCTAAAAGCTGCAGAAAGATTCGTTTTCCACCCAGGAAATCCTCTGAAATGAGATGGTCAACTTTTTTCTTTTTTTTTGATCTGGTCAGCCAGGCAGACAGCAGGCGACAATCTCTAAAAGTGATGTGGAAGTAACGCGAGAGAAGGACTAGAAGGCGAAGATGATGGGGGGTGAGGGGTTGGGGGAGTCCAGAAGTGCCCTTGCGGTGATGGCACGGTGTCAAAGCTCTAGTTCAAAGATCTAGCCAGCAGGCTGGCCCCCGAAGCTCACTGCGGAGGACCGCGTGTACAGTACACGCACAGAGCAACAAACGCATCTCTACACTGCTTTGTGTGTTCGCGTGCACACGAGGCAGAGAGGGCAGAGGGCGGGGGCTTATATTAATCATAAGCTGTCAAGCTCTGGGTCTTGCACTTCAAACGAGATGGCGCAAATCAAAGTGTGTCTCTGGGTCTTGTACGTGTAAATGTGTATGCGTGTGTGTTGCGGCATTGCCTCTGAAGGGAACAAGAAGAGGATCAGTGCCAGATTCGGCCGCCTGCGGTATTTCTGGCTCGGCCACAAGGGCATTAAAAAAAACAAACCAAAAGACTCGCACACAAACACACACCGTGGTGAAAATCAGAAACATTCTATCGCCAATATTTGCATACGTTCAGCGTGCTCTTACAGCACACACTGCTTTTTGACTCTCACGCACGTATAATGATGCACAATAGCTTGCTAAGCTGGCTTTGGACTACACTCGTCCCCTCTCTCTCTCTCCCATCCTGTCACACAGAGTCAGCCACCATCACTCAAGTGAACCCAGCATCATAAGAACACAACCCTGCCATCAGTCAATCTGTCAGCTTATGTGTGTGTGTGAGAGAGAGAGAGGAGGGTCTGAAAGCACAGATGCCCCAGGTCCTGCTTCGTAAGTGGACTTTAGAGTGGTAGGGAGGGAGAGATGCAAAGCTCCGAAACACATCTTGTTCCAAATTCTCTGATAAAAATGGAGTCCTAAATCAAAGAGATAGCACTCTGAAAATGAGATAGAAAAACTGGGGGAAAAGAGGCAGATAATGGGATGAAGTACTGTAATGTAGATGGGTGACGGAGATGAGAGGATGAGAGGAGAAATAGAGGCTGGAGAGTGGCAGGGATTGGACGAGTGGGTCAAAAGCAATAAAGGGAGGGGAAAATAGTGAAAGCTTAAAGCAAGCAAATGCAGGGATGCCGGATGGGACGAGAAATGAGCGCAGGTAAGGAAGGCCAAATGGATGAGGAAAGAAGAGAGGAAAGGAGAGGAGCAGCGGGTACAGTAAGGACTGAGACAATGAGAACGAGGGAGCGAAAGAGAGAAAGCGACTCAATAGAACGGAGAGATAAAAATAGAGGCAGAGTTCCCTTACAGCCCTGATAACTCACGCGCGCGCAAACACTCATTCACACTTTCTCTCGTTCTCGTGGGAGGAGAGAAGGTCAGCAGTCACACTTCGTAGCGTCTCCGCCACAGGGTACCAACATGTGTTTATGATAATTGAAAGAAGACTCAGTCCTAATTACAGCTGAGCGCTCGCCAC